GGGAAACATAAAAATGGGGACAGAAAACATAATATAGAACCAGTCAGAATTGAAGAATATAATACAATATTTGAAATAAAGTATACATTAGAGGGAATCAACAGTAGAGTAGATGAAGCAGAGGATCGAATCAGCGATTTAGAAGATAAGGCAGCAGAAACACCGAAACACAAAAAAGATAAAACAATACTAAATAATAATGAGGATAGTTTAAGGGACCTCTAGGACAATATTAAGCATACCAATATTTGCATCATAGGGGTCCCTGAAGGAGAAATGAGAAAACAAGGAATTGAAAACCTATTTGAAAAAATAATGATGGATAACTTCCCTAACCTGGTGAAGAAAATAGATATACAAGCCCAGAAAGAGCAGAGAGTCCCAAACAAGATGAACTCAAAGAGGCCAACACCAAGACACTTCATAATAAAAATGGCAAAGTTTAAGGACAAAGACAGAATCTTAAAAGCAGCAAGAGAAAGACAATTAGTCATCTATAACAGAGCTCCCATAAGACTGTCAGAAGATTTCTCAACAGAAACTTTGCAGGCCTGAAGGGATTGGCATAAAATATTCAAAGTAATGAAAATCAAGGATTTACAACTTAGATTATTCTATCCAGCAAAGCTATCATTTAAAATTGAAGGAAAAATAAAGACCTTCCCAGACAAGTAAAAACTAAAGGAGTTCATAACCATCAAGCCACTATTACAAAGAAATGTTAAAGGGACTTCTTGAAGAAGAGGAAGAAGGAGAAGGATAAAAAATATGAATAATAATATGGCAGTAACCACATATCTATCAACAATTACTTTAAATGTAAATTGATTAAATGCTCCTATCAAAAGACATAGGGTAGTTAAATAGATAAGAAAATAAGACCCTTACATACACTGTCTACTAGAGACTGAATTCAGATTAAAAGATACACATAGACTGAAAGTAAAGGGATGAAATAAGATATTTCATGAAAATGGAAATAAAAAAAAAGGTTGGGATTTGGAGTGGCCATACTACCAGGCAAAATAGACTTTAAAACAAAAGCTATAATCAGAGACAAAGAAGGACCTAGTAATCTTGTTGTCGGAGAGTGGGCCCTTCTTGGTGCAAAGTCCAGGTCCTTGGCAACTCAAGCAAAGAATTGAACAAGATACCAGGGCAAAGTATTGAAAACTCAGTTTATTAGCAGAGACAGTACATTTCAAAGAAGTAGAAGGAGGCCTGAGCAGTAGAGAATGGCTCAAGGGCCCAGTATTAGAAGAGAAAATACATTTCAAAGACTTTGGAGAAGGCCACGCCTAAATGAGGAAAAATAGATTTTAATTAATAAAGCTGTTAGTGTTGTGGTTCAACCGAGTAGAAAAGACTTTTTTTTTTTAAAGATTTTTATTGGGGAATTGGGGGATAGGAACAGCGTTGGGGAATTGGGGGAAGGGGAACAGACAAGTTGCTGTTTTTTTGTTCTTCAGTCTAGTTGTGGAGGACATTGCTTCACTGGCCCAAGCTGGCACCATCATTACACTCTCTCCAGGACAGGCAGATCAGTTGCCGGCTCCTGGACGGCAGCTCACGCTGGCTGCTGGCTACATACGGTAACCCATGGCAACCCACTGCAGCAGGGGCTGCAGCCTATGCCGTCGCTGGCGACTCATGGCAGCCCAGCTCCAGGTTGAGCTGTTGTTCAGCATCTTAGCTGTAGAGGGCAGTGTCACTGGCCCTCATGTGTGGGGTCCGAACCGGGCCCTCTGGGGTCCCAAGCCAGCTCTTAACCAACGCGCCACTTGGCCAGCCCAGAAAAAACTCTTAACTCTTATTTCCTATAGAAATGTTAAGTCTCCTCCCTAGTTTCTTAGCTCTTGGCTTTAATTACTCTTCTAACCAGTTTGTGAATCCTAGACTAAAGATTCCCCTGTTTCTTGACTGCTTTATAAATCAGTTTCTGAATCCTAAACAACAGAAGTCTCCTACCCCAGCTTCAGATAACTACTTGAAAGCCTGTGACTTCCTAATATCCCCCAGGCCAGTAAACCTAATGATTCTTTCCAAACCCATTTTGGGCCCAGACAACTGAGGCCACCTCAATAACAGGCTTAATGGCCACAAATTTCATGAGAGCTAATAGATTTATTAATTAAAATCTATTTTTCCCCATTAGGAACCTTGGGGATACAGATGACACCCTAACAAGATTGCCATTCGCAATCAAAGAATCCAACGTGGTCTTACAGGCGGATCTCAAGACTCCTTCCTCTCATCAGAGATCAGCTAGGGTGAGAGTTCCGTGAACCCCCAATAGGCAGGGACAGCTCTACGTCCCTGACCAGCTGGAAGCAGATACAGAAGAAGAGACCTCCTGTCCCTCAACTTCCAATAGAGATTTTATGGGGATCATGTCTCTCAAAGGGGAAAACAATGTAGGCAGTTAGAGGCAGGCATTGGGTCTCTGCATTCCTGCATGTCCCACAGAATGCACCGCCCAAAGACCTCCCCTCTCCACCCAAAACTCCCAACTTTGTATTGTAATTACCTATCCCTGCGGGAAAACAAATGGGCACAAAATACTCAACTAGATCAGACCAGTCACTGGCACCTGTGCAGTACCTGTTGTCAATCACAGGAGACAATCAAGTGGTCCCACGTCCAAAGGGGAACAGCCCATTCTAGAGAAAGGGGATAAAAACTCTCAAGTCCAGAGAAGCCTCTTCCCTTTTTTTGGACTGCCTTCCTCCCATTTTGAGCCTCTTGAGCCTCGCCTTTGCACATGGCCCACTCAATTCTTTGCAACGTAATTTCTCTTCTGATAATGGGTCCTTGAACCATCCTCTTCTGCTCCGCCTACTTCTACTTCTTTGAAACCTACTATCCTAATAAACTACTTTTTCACTACTTTGCTCCGGTATCTTATTCAATTGTTTGCTCGCGTTGCCAAGGACCTGGACTTTGCGCCGATCAGCGCCCACTGTCTGACAGCATTAGTTCTTATGAAACCTGTGTCCATTCAGCCTGTCACTCAGGTGGCCTCAGTTGTCTGGGCCCAGAATGGGTTTGGCATTTAGCTTACTGGCCTGGGGGATATTAGGACATCACAGGCTTTTAAATAGCAAAGGGTAGGAGATTTCTATGAACAATCTATTGTTTGGGATTAAGAAACTGATTTACAAAGCAATCAAGAAGCAGGGGGATAGGAGAATTCTATGATACAGGCTAGGAGCAATCTTTAGTCTAGAATTCACAAACTGGTTAGAAAAGTAATCAAAGCCAAGAGCTAAGAACCTAAGGAACTAGGGAGGAGTCTTAACACTTCTATACTTAAGATTTCTACAGGAAAGAACACTTAAAAGTCTTTCAGTGGGGGAGGAGGGGTAGCTTCTTGGTTGTCCCACAACAATCTGACTCTGGGTATTTATGAAAAGAAACCCAAAACACTACTTGGAAGAGACATGTGCATTCATATGTTCATTGCAGCATTATTTACAATAGCCAAGATATGGAGGCAACATAAGCGTCAACCAGTGGATGAATGGATAAAGAAGAGTTGGTACATATATACAATGCAATAGTACTCAGTCATAAAAAAGGATGAAATCTTGTTTGCAACAACATGGATAGACCTAGAGAGTACTGTGCTGAATGGAGTGAGACAGAGAAAGACAAATGCCATATGATTTCACTTATCTGTGGAATCTAAAGAATAAGATAAAGAACAAACAAAACAGAAAAAGACTCAGATACAGAGAACATGCTGACAGTTGTTGGAAGAGGGGGCCTGGGTTGGAGGGCTGGGTGAAAAAGGTAAAGGGGATTAAGTAAGAAGTACCTATTGGTAGTTACAATATAGTCATGGGGATTTAAAGTAAAGCACAGGGAATATAGTCAATGATATGGTAATAACTATGGTGTCAGGTGGATACTAGACTAGTCAGGGTGATCACTTGGTAAGTTATATAAATGTCTAGTCACTATGCTGTACACCAGAGACTAAGATGATATTGTATGTTAACTGTAACTGAAAAATAAAATTATTAAAACACTTTTAGTACAAGAATCAGAGAGGTTTTAATCTCAATTTATATTTGTATTTATGACCGTTGGTCCTCCCAAGACAGAGAGGAAAGATGACTCCCCCCACATTTGATTTCTGGTTGATTACAATCAGTAGAGATTGATTTTTAGCATAAAAAGGCTCATTTTACATGAGATGGTGCACTGGTGAAGATAAAATCCTTAATAAAAATCCCGCCACTTTGCAATGTTCTTTGGGGAATAGGATTTCAAATACCAAGGAACAAAAGAGGATCTGGTTTTCAATCTCCCTGAGGCGGTAGCAGATTGTGAAGCAGTTACTGGGAGAAACCAAAGTATAATTATCAAGAGGAGAAAGGTGTGTGTGTGTGTGTGTGTGTGTGTGTGTGTGTGTGTGTTTTGGGGGGGGTTGCAGGGAGAGGAGGGGACTAGGAAATAAAGCACATGTTAAGGATCCAAGGATTTTTTGCGATGTACCTTGTTATGTAACATTTATAACGAAAGGCGCCTGCAACAGCATCAGCGCACTGACCCGCATTTTCCCGGCCCAGTTTACAACCACAAGCTGGGATACAATGGGGTCGGGAGGAGGGGACAAGAACCGCCATGCTGGCGGAGAGCGGTCTAAACAGCGGGAAAGCAGCTAATGGTGCAGAAGCGGAGGTCAAATTCCCCCTGGCTCTAGGCTCCAGACCACGGATCCCAAGGGAATCAGCAGAGAACAAGTTTCAAAATGCAGAATCCGGGACCGAACCTTTTAGATGCTTATTTAGTAGGTGGGGAAACGTGTTAAGAGTTTACAAATCTGCATTTTCAATCAGCTCTCTGGGGAGCCTGAGGCAGTGAGCTGCGAGCCCACACAGAGAACGCCACACTGGTCCCGGAGCGGACGCCCTCGTGCACGGTGCAGGCGCGCCTGGCGCGGGACGGCGCGCGGTCGCGAGCGCGCAGCTCCCCAGCAACGGCGCATGCGTGGGCTCGCCTTCCAGTGAAGCCGCGCAGCTACGCGGGCCCAACTCTTCCAATGCGAGCCTGGCGTTCTCCGAGTGCGTATCCGGGAGGGGCAGGCGGCGGAGGCGGGAGGAAGGGGGCGGGGCGGGGCTGGTGGCCTGCGAAAATCAGATAAGGTCTGCGAGGCGAGGCGAGTCTCCGGAAGTGGCCGTTGTAAACAACTTCTCAGTGGGGTTTGTCCCCCTCTGTACCTCTTTGGTATTTGTTCACCCTCCCTGGGTCCTAGAGTCCGTCCAGTTCCAACAGTTTTTGATCTGCCCCCGCGGTCTGCGTGGGCTTACTTCTACTTTTGAGATTTGAAGCTGCCCCTGGGGTCTTGGGTGTGCGTTTTGGACCACGGGAGCCCCCTGAGGTAACCACGGGGTGTGGGGTCTTCGAGGCAAACGACTTAGGCGCGGGGAGGTGTTGAGAGGAAGGGTATGGGGGCGCTGCAGTGATGGTTGTGGGGGACGCCGAGTGATTTTGGGGCTGTTATTGTCATCAGTGGGGACACGCCTCCACTGGTAGGGCCTCTCCGCCCACCTGGAGGAAGTTCTTGGAGCATCCTACCCAGTCACAGCTGCTGCAGCACCCAGAGAACAGGATTAGGGTCCAGGGGGCTTGGATTTGGAGGTTGTTAGGTTCACAACTCCGGACTGTTTCCTTCCCGATAATCAGTAAGCCCTTCGAGGACAAGGACCATGTCTTTTTCATTAAAAAAGCAAAAACCAAACCAAAACAAAAAAACCCCATACACTAGACACTGTATACATGTTTGATGAATGAAAAGAATGAAGGTGTGCTGGGCTGTCTTCTGTAGCTTCTAGGGCTTATTCTCCAGGACCTAAGAGCCTTATAAAAGTCAGCTGTGAGCTTTCCTGAAGCTGTAAATAAATATTTACAACTCTGCAGGGTTGAGCCTCCTTTTGACTGTTCTTTATTTTGTTATGATATTTATCCTAGAAAGATACATATTTATTCGTTTTAAGCAGATCTCAAATGATACTGCGTAAGTTTACTTGAGAAGCAATTTCAGTTGCTTTCCAGTTCTTTTGAGTACATTATAAATCGATGTTTTAGAGTTTCATAATCTTGGAGAAAGGAACCTACCCTTTTGCCACTTGTTTGAACACTTTAGTGCTTAGTAACAACAAAATGGTGGTAGAGCAGGAAATGAACATTCATTCTTTACCTTGAAGAGGAAACAAAGGCAATACAACCTGCTAAGAGGAAAGATGAAGAGAGTACTTTTAGTCTTTTCTGTATTAGTCCTGGCTTAGACGTGTACTAGGTGTCAGACCTCTGGCAAACCACCTAAGCTCCCTAGGCAATAGATTCCTTACCTGTCGGATAAGGAGGATGGACTTGGTCTTTCAAGTCTCATTTACTTGTAAGATTCTTTGATTGTCTCAGTCCCTTTGCCTTGGTCTTGTTTTGATGAATACCAAACATCCCCTTAAAGGTGAAATGTACAAGTCTGCAGATAAACACCCCAGCACAGATTGTGGTTACTATGGAAGGCAGCACTGTTATGAAAGAGGATGAACTTAAAAGAGTCAGCCAGATGTTGGTTTGAATTCTAACCCTCTCATTGAATATCTTTACACAAGTTATTCAACCTCTCCAATCCTCAGTGTTCTTATCTGTAAAATGTGCATAATAATCTCATAGCCTTGTTAGGAAGATTCAGTGAGATCAGGCATGCTTAGTGCAGTATCTGGCATGTAGTAATAATAGCAGTTTTTATCTTTTCATTCTCCCTGCCCCTCGCTTTTCCTTTGATCTGGGCAGACACACTGAGAGGTAAGTACATGACCCACTGAAGAACTCAGATGTGAGGTAGGAAAATTTGGTACTAGCAGTGGCTCCCTAATCCAAAGTTGAATTGTCTTTCTGGCTGGTACTTCCTCTCAGAATGTCCAGATCATTGGTCTCTTGACTTCAAGTGCCCTATTACCTATTTCTAAAATACTTCTTATTGAAGAATGATATACAGTAAAACCTTGGATTGCGAGTAACTTGGTTTGCGAGTGTTCCGCAAGACAAGCAAACATTTCTAATACATCTTAACTTGGTAAATAAATGAGCGATGTTTTGCAATACGAGTAGTTTGTTTCTGGAACGAATTATGCTTGCAAACCAAGGTATTACTGTAGTCGTACATAGCATCTCATCTATTTTAGGAGGAATGGTGAGAATAGTCTAACTCCAATACCAAGAAGATTAATCTATTAATATGTTAACATTAAAAGCTGATTTAAGCATTACCTTTATTCATCACTGATACAGGATGGCCTGGTTTTGGCCCAAGCCTGTGGAAGTGCCATCTGGATTGACTGAGAATCCACTGGAGGTCCGAGTTATCTTTCATTAAGACCCTGACTTGTATTGATAGTTAGTTTGGATGTTTGAGAAATCTGCAGCCGGGAGCAGAAGTGCTTCCCTGACAAGTGAAATTTCACATGCTCCCAGGCTGGGGGTCAGCCGTGTCTTCGAGGCCGATAACAAGGCACACAGCCGAGCTCTGGAGTCAGCCAATTTGGATTTGAATCCTGATTCTGTCCCTTATTAGAGGTGTGACTTTGGACAAGTGACTGACTATCTTTAAGCGCCAGTTTTCTCAGGTATAATGTGGGGTGTATATTAACAGTATCTTAGTGAAGAACAGAAAGGCTGAGAATTGCATATCATAAGAAATTTTTTTATTTAAGTAGATTTGCCAAGTTATTATTTATCTTAACTTGTGGAGTTTCATAGGGAAGTTTCAAGTAAAGCTAGGGACACATAATATGTGGGGACCTTGTAATTCTTTGACTTAGTTTCCCATTCCACTGACATTTTCATTGCCTAACTACTCTACATTCGTCATCATTCCTTGCCCTTTTTTCACTCTGTTGGAAGCAAAAGGAGATTTTGCTACATCTTCTCTGTCATATTCAATAGCATAGAAATCTATCATAGTTTAAATTCAACCACAGATCTAAGTTTGGTCCTTTGTTGATGTAGTTATCCTAAAACAGAGGTAAGCCTTTGAACTCTAGTGTTATCAAGAGCAGACATCAGAGAGAGGAAGAAAACAATAGTTTTCTAAAGGAGACTTTAGATAGGATTTTTTTAAGCGATCATGAATTAAAAAATTGAGATAATTCATGTAACCTAAAATTCACCTTTTTTTTTTTTTAAGATTTTTATTGGGGAATTGGGGGGGATGGGAACAGTGCTGGGGAATTGGAGGAAGGGGAACAGACAAGTTGCCGTCCTTTTGTTCTTCAGTCTAGTTGTGGAGGACGTTGCTTCACTGGCCCAAGGGGGCACCATCATTGCGCTCTTCCCGGGCGAGGCAGATCAGTTGCCGGCTTCTGGACGGCTGCTCACTGCGGCTGCTGGCCACTCACGCTGGCTGCTGGCTACATACGGTAGCCCATGGCAACCCACTGCAGCCGGGGCTGCAGCCTATGCCGCCGCCGGCGACTCACGGCAGCCCAGCTCCAGGTTGAGCTGTTGTTCAGCATCTTAGCTGTGGAGGGCAGTGTCACTGGCCCTCATATGTGGGATCCGAACCGGGGCCCCCTGGTGTCCAAAGCCAGCTCTTAACCAACCAACGCGCCACTCGGCCGGCCCTGATCTTCTTATTCTTATTCAGGAACCCTAGTTATCTGCATGTTGGTTATCCTTTGATTATTTTCATTTTTTTGTCACTTTCTCTTGAATTTTTTTGTCTTTTTATTCATTTTCTTATTAAAAAATTTCCCTCATTTTCATTTTCAATGTCTTTTAGTCATTTTTTTTGTCATGTTGGTTTACTCTTTATGTTCTCTCTAGTTTGATCTTCATTACTGAAATGATTTTTTTCTTTTATTTCTAATTCTTTCTGATCCTGATTTTTATTCTTTTATGTCTTATACCATTTTGTGAATGTTTTTTAGCTCATCTGAAATAGTAAGTTACAGTTTTCATTTGTTTTGTGGGCACATCTTTCTGCCATGCTTTCTATTCTGCTTCTTACTCTCTTTTTTTCTCATATTAACTGTGTGTGGGATTTGACCACACTGGTTTTCTGTTGCTTCCTTATATGGAAGATTAGTTTGTCTGAACTTGGAGAATTTGGGGCAAGGTTCAGGAAAGCTTTTCTAACTTCATAGAACCTTGTCTTGTGTTTTTTTTTGTGTGTGAGTATTAAAAACGATGGTGGCTCACTTTCTGGGATTTCCTGGCCCTGTTTTCTTCTATAGTTTGGACCGGGCCATCTCTTTACTTTGTCTTTATTTCCCTTATCCTGCCCAATTTTGATTCCATTCCCAGTAGTTTATCTCAAGTGTTGGTCCCTGTCTGGAAGGAACTTTGGGAGGTCACTTTTTTTTTTTTTTAAAGATTTTTATTGGGGAATTGGGAACAGTTTTGGGGAATTGGGGGAAGGGGAACAGACAAGTTGCTATCGTTTTGCTCTTCAATCTAGTTGTGGAGGACGTTGCTTCATTGGCCCAAGTTGGCACCATCATTGGGCTCCTCTCTGGCGAGGCAGATCAGTTGCCGGCTTCTGGACAGCCGCTCACCGCGGCTGCTGGCCGCTCATGCTGGCTGCCGGCTACACACGGTAGCCCATGGCAACCCAGTGCCACAGGGACTGCAGCCTACGCCATCGCCGGCGACTCAAGGCAGCCCAGCTCCAGGTTGGGCTGTTGTTCAGCATCTCAGCTATAGAGGGCAGCATCACTGGCCCTCATATGTGGGATCTGAACCGGGGCCCTCTGGCGTCCCAAGCCAGTTCTTAACCATCGCGCCACTCGGCCGGCCCTGGGAGGTCACTTTTGAAAGTTCACAAGGCAGACCCTAGCAATGCTTTTAAGACTCTCTTGTCATATGCCTATTTCATGTGCCAACTTTTGGAATGGGCTCACTTCTCCCCCTTTCATCTGCTGCTCTCACATTGGCCTGCAGTGCTTTCCATGAAATGTCTGTTGGCTCTTTGGGGGTTCTTTCATGTGCAGTGTTCTTATTTTCCTCTGCTTTCTCCTCTATTGACACCTCTATTCCTGTGCAGGTTTTGTGGCTGTTGGTGGTTTGCCCTTACTCATTTGTATTTTGTGATTCCTTTTGTTGTAATTATTGCCCTTGGTTATCTAGTTTCTCTATCTAGTTACCTTAGATAAGATTTATATACACTCCCTCTTTTCAATTAATAAGGAAATTAACCTATAGAAAAGCAAAGAGACTTTATAAAAGACACACACAGGCACCGCTGCCATGAGAACCCATTTTTGTGTTTTACTTGTCACTCAATTTCTTTTTTTTCTTTTTAACCCTGCAAGAGCATTCTCAAGCTTTTTTTAATTTTTTATTTTTTATTAAAGATTTTATTGGGGAACTGGGGGAGGGGAACAGTGCTGGGGAATCGGGGGAAGGGGAACAGACAAGTTGCTGTTGTTTTGTTCTTCAGCCTAGTTGTGGAGGACGTTGCTTCACTGGCCCATGTTGGTATTATCATTACGCTCTTCCCGGGTGAGGTAGATAGGTCGCTGGCTACTGGACAGCTGCTCACAGCGGCTCTTGGCATCTCATGCCGGCTGCCAGCCACTCATGGTAGCTCACGGCAGCCCACTGCAGCTTCACAGCAGCCTATGCTGTTACCGGTGGACTCATGGCAGCCCAGCTCCAGGTTGAGTTGTTGATCACCATCTTAGCTGTGGAGGGCATGGCGTCAATGGCCCTCATGTGGGATCTGAGCCAGCTGCTTAGAGCTGGTGCCCCAAGCCAACGCTTACTCAACCTGCCATTCGGCCGACACTCAAGGTTTTTATCCATATTAATTTTCTATTGTTGTGTAGCAAGTTCCCACAAACTCAGTGGCTTAAAATAGCACCCATTTCTTATCTCTCAATTTCTGTAGCTCCAAAGTCTGGGCACAGATTAGGTGCGCCCTCTGTTCAGTGTCACTAGGCTACACTCAAGGCAGCAGCCAGCTGTGTTCTGATCTGGAGTATTGACTGGAAGGGATCTGCTTCCTGGCTCATTTGGGTGGTTGGCAGAATTAATTTCCTGTTGGCATCTGTATGACCAAGGGACCTGGCTTCTTACTGGCTGTGGGGTGGCGGCTGCCAGCAGTTCCCTGCTCTGTGGCCCTCTCCATAGGCAGTTCACAGCATGGTAGTTTGCTTTTTCAAGGCCTGCAGGAGATTGCCTCACTTCAGTCTACTAAGACAGAGTTGTGTGTAACATAATGTGATCACGGGATGCACCATCTTTGCCATATTGTGTTAGAAGCAAATCACAGGTTCTGCCCACAAAGGGGACAAGGGTTTTATACAGGAGAGAAACAACAGGGCACAGTGATGGTAGGGACCATCTGCCTACTACATTATCTGTAGCAGTGATCTGGAAATTGATGAAAGTTGCTCCTGAACTATAGAACATGCTTTCTAGAAGACCATTCAAATATGAAGATGTTAGATTCCAAAACAATGCACTGAAAAATGAAGATTCTCTTAGTTTAGCATTATTTATTTATTTAAAAGATATTTATTGGGGAATTGGGGAAGAGAACAGGAATGGGGAAGGGGAACGTTATGTTTTTCCAGGACCCATCAGCTCCAAGTCAAGTAGTTGTCTTCAATCTAATTGTGGAGGGCACAGCTCCATGGCCCATGCTGGGATCGAACCGGCAACCTTGGTGTTATGAGCACTGCTCTCTAACCAACTGAACTAACTGGCCGCCCCAACCACATACTTTTAAGATATTTATTGGAATCCTAACTCAGACCTGAGCCCAAAGCTCATAGTCTTTCTTCGGATTTTGGACTTCTGCTGGGGATACCAAGAGACATTTGTGGGCTCTTAATAGTTGTGTCTATGAGGACTTAGTTATTGTTATGTATTTAAAATGTTTACCACACTCCTTCATACTATAGTAAAGTAACTTTAAATGTTTGGCTCTGTGTAATTTGGTGTATCTTCCATAGAAGGGTTCCAGAGAGAAGGCCTGTGTAAGTGACAAATGCTCCCCTTTCTTTCTTCCTCTTTGATCCCTTAGGAGGCCTTTGAAAATTGCCATGAGATATTTTATTTGGGAGTACTTTGGTCTTTGATGGTAACATCGCATTAAAAGTATCTCATTTATGGAAAAGTCTTTGGGGAACCAAAAATGACCCTGCACTTCATTTTCTTTCTGATTTCTGTGCCCTGTAGATATAGGCACTAACTACGTATTCCTTTTCCAGTTCAGGAACAATTTGTCACTATTTCATTATAATCATTTTTCTTTTTATTTGAGAAATGAAAGTAATATAATAGTATTACTTTGTTCTTACAAAAAGGAACATCTTTCTAACATTTTGTCATTTTCAATTCTATTCTTTTTTTTTAAACACAAAACACCTTTATTACACGGACTAAGCTAGGAGGGAGGAGGATTTATTTGCCGTTCTCGGCCTTGGTTTTCCTCAGATAGAACTCCAGCTCCTTGCTCTGCAGCACAGAGCCATCTGCTAGTCCACACTGGCCTGGTCTAGAAGTGGTACATGCAGAAAGGGTGCCCTGCTGGGACTGCTCCTCTAGAAGACGGCTGGCTTTGGCATTCTATTTCCTTTCCTCATATTTCTTCTGAATTTTCTTTGCTTGCTTTTTGTTTAAAAATCTCTTCCTCCTCAGGAGTCAGTTTGGCCCCTTCTTGCCGCAAAGGCCGTGCATAGTGGGTGGGACTCATACCACTGTCGGTCCGGTGTGCTGTCAATGAGCACGAAGCAGTTCGTTACTAGGGTCTTGGTGTGAACCAGTTCATTGTTGGACGCCTTGTACACAACATTAATAATCCTTGTTTTGCGCATATAACACTCAGAGCCCCAGGAGAAGTTCCTCCCGGCACATGGACTGTGTGTATGCGGCAGGGGCCAATCTTAGTGTTGGCAGCAGGGCGACCCAGCTCATATTTTCACTTCTTGTGGGAGGGCTTTCTCTTGCCTCCGGTCTTATAGTGCTTGTACCAGTTGTCCCGAGAGATGCCCATGGCCCGGTGCCAATTGGAAAGAGGGTTTCTAATCTTTTTTTTAAAAGAAAACATTATGGGGCTGGCCAAGTGGTGCGTTGGTTAGGAGTTGGCTTGGGACTCCAGCTCTGAGCAGCAGGGTTGCCGGTTTGGATGCCACATGAGGGCCAGTGATGCTGTGCCCTCTACAGCTAAGATGGTGAACAACAGCTCGACCTGGAGCTGGGTTACCGTGAGTCACCAGCGATGGCGTGAGCTGCAGTGGGGCTGGCCGGCAGAGGGTGTGAGCTTTCGTGACCTGCCTTGAGCCACTCTGAGCGGCTGTCCAATGGCCGGCGAGTGAATGCCTCACCCAAGAAGAGCACAATGATCATACCAACATGGGCCAGTGAATCAACATTCTCCACAACTAGACTGAATAACAAAAGGACAACAACTTGTCTGTTCCCCTTTCCAGATTCCCCAGCGCTGTTCCCCTCCCCCAGTTCCTCAATTAAAAAAAGTCTTAAAAAAAAAAGAAAACATTATGGCTTTAAAAGATACAAGTATTTATATGTTTGTTAGACAATAATTTAAAAGTACAAATAAGTCGAAGAACAAAATAAACCTCACCCAGAGTCTCAGGACTCACATATATAACCAGTGTTATATTGTTTACTATTTTAACAGATTTCAGCCCATCTAACCTGTAAGCCATAGACATCTTGGACAATTTTAATCAATAACGAAGTATACCTTTAAGAAGCAGTGGATTATTTTGGAAGAGCCGGAAGACTTACCATGAGTTTAAACACTTCAAGTAATGCCACTGGTGATACCCAAAGGTAAGCCGCTGGTCTTTTCGTTTGGTTGGGGATTGCTTTTGGTTGCAAGGAGCGGGGAGAAGTTATTTGCTGGAGGGCTGGTTGTAAGAATTCTGAAGGTGTGGTACGGGAAGTAGACATTTTATGGGACTGGAGGAGCAGGAATGAAGGAGGTCTCATGGGAACCAGAACTGTATCTGGTGACTTTGTGCTCCCTTGTTAATTGGGTCAACACAAGTCAAAGTGTCTATACTTTCTTCCCTAGATTCTTGGTTATTCTTTTCTGCTTGTTGAAATCTTTCTTATGTTTCTGCGTATTCACATTTCTGTGTGATTATTACTTTTCGCTTGTCATAATTTCTGTGGCTCTAATTCCTATTCTTTCCTCATTGCCTCATTCTTTTAGTTTTAGGTCCTGTTACTAACTGCTTAATTACTTGGAGTTTACATTCCAAGAATTGCTATTGCTCATCTTTTCTGTACCATCGATATCTGCCTTTGGGTGAGGTTTCTACCTTTGGTTTATTCACTTCTGATATGAATAATATAAAACTGAGTCTATAATATAAAACTGAGCCATCTTAGAGAGTGCCATCCAAAGCATGGTTTACTAAGAAATAAATGCAGAAATTGAAAGTGTTTAGAGGGCTGGCTGAGTGTCTCAATTGGTTCAGTGTGTGAGTTCTGAGCAACAGGGTTGCTGGTTCGATTCCCACATGGGCGAGTGAGCTGTGCCTGAGTTGAGCTGCCGCTGAGCTGCCTACAGGTAGTAGGATGGCTCAGCTGATGAGAGCTCGTGCTCCTAACAATAAGATTTCCAGTTCAACTCACGCATAGGATGGTGGGCTATGCACACTGGCAAATAAGATTGAGCATGGCACCTTGAGCTGAGCTGCCGTGAACTGCCAATGAGCGGCCAGATGGTGACTGGACTTGGAGCTGAGCTAGCTGTGCCTTCCACAACTAAGATCGAAGAACAACAACTTGGCTGTTCCCTTTTTTTTTTAAAGATTTTATTGGGGAATTGGGGTGTGGAGGAACAGCGTTGGGGAATCGGGGAAGGGGAACAGACAAGTTGCTGTCCTTTTGTTCTTCAGTCTAGTTGTGGAGGACGTTGCTTCACTGTCCCATGTT